CTTAGCTTTCTTTTCTCTGCGCAGCTGCAAATCTTTATCAAAATATGTCAAGGTCAATGGACAGAGGCCTCATCACCACCTGAAGATGCCCACATGATCATATTCACAACTTTTCATTGGAAGAATCATTTGAACTATGAGGGGTGGGAACGTTTCCAACACTTTGTATATGTGATCTGCGCGCCTAATTTCTCAGATTCAGAATTCTACTGATGTTACCACTTCAAATTCAGTAAAAGATATCCTTGCTCTAATCTAAAGAGTCTAAGTTTTCTTTCTTGAATTTTGAATGGAGCACCACCTGACAGGCTGCCTCCTGTGCTGGCCATGCCCCTTTCACTAAGGCTTATTTTTGGAGTAGGGATTATATTATGCCCATCCCCAAAAATCAGGCTAGGGCTTATTTTCGTGGTAGGTCATATTTTTGGGAAAATACAGTACCTTCCTACCTACCTACCTATCCATCAAATTTTTAAGATACATTTTTACTCACCTGACAAAACTATCCAGCAAATCAACATTTTTTCGATCACTCACAAATTCCCCAATCATTTTCTTGTCCAGTTTAGGATTTTCTCTCAGCCACTTGGCCACTTGATTGTTATCCATTGGGGTAGCCAAGAGATTTTTCTCCTGAAGAAACTGTATTCCTTTTTTTGGTTTTTGATTGAAGTGCTCTGAACCACTTACCAAGAGCTTTAAAAAGTCAAAATGAATAAATTAAGTACTTTATAGTGACATTACTCTTATATCAAATCATATACTCTCTGTACAGTAATATAATTCAATATGTTATTCTTTAATCTTTAGGTCTGGAGACCACTTTTAGACCTTATTCCACACAATTAAGTTTTACGTTAGTAAAATTCAATACAGTCATTTCTTCCTTAGCAGCTACCTTGTTTAGCAACAATTTAAAAATACAATGATAATAAAACAATTTTGACCAATGCTCACACTTACATCAAATTTCTACATTGTGTGCACAATTATTAGGCAAGTTGTATTCTGGAGAATTAATGTTATTATTGAACAATTACAGAGCTTTCAATCAATCCAAAATGTTAATAAATCTCAAACCTAAATATTACCTAAACATAAATGACCATGTTACCTAGTTTGGGTAATGAAACATCTGCAAGTAATCAACCAAGCTCAGAGAGCACCAAAATTTCATTTGAACCCTGAGCAACAAATATTCTCCTTTATTGCTACCTTATAATAAAGCAGAGCTCCCCAAACTTGGCAACTTTGACTTGTGGACTACAACTCCCAGAATTCTGGGAGTTGTAGTCCACAAGTCTTAAAAGTTGCCAAAGTCTGGGGACCCCTGGTATACAACTACATTAACAGAATCTTGCAAGTCTGAAAATACAAAGCACTATCTTCTTTACAGCCCAAAAAACTAATGAGGCTCCCATTTGAGCCCCTTGCTCTGCCCTGTATCCAGGTGTGAGCTATGCCCTCTCTTATCTTAGGGATTGTTCTCCAAGTAGCATCTGTTCGTGCTGTCGCCCAAGGTTTTTCCCATTTCCATTACAAAAAAGCAACCCTCTAAACTCCTAAATACATTGTAAGATAAAAATCTAACAAATTACTAAATAAAGTATTTTAGTCGTGGTTATTCAATTTTATTTTCTTATTTAATGCTTGTACTTTCTAATGTCTTTGCAAGTGGTTTTCAACACTGAAAAGAATTGGTTTTATGTTTTAACAACAGATGAATTTCCAAATCATCTTCATTTCCACTGCCTTTCTAAATCCCTAAGTCAGTTCTTTCCTGATGCTTTCCACCTATAGGGATTCTAGCATTTATTTGGGTCCTTCTATTTCTATATTTTCAAATGCTAATGGAAGTATTTAAAGATCACTTTAGCACATTCAAATCTGACCCCCCCCCTTCTTCTTTTATATTTACTATTGTACTTAAGAATGAATCTACATCTTTACTGTATACATAATGGACACATACTATAGATACTTCAGAAACAACATGCCATACCTTTTTTTTATTCTTAATCATTATCAGTTCTTGTGTTCTGGGTAGGAAGCAGGAAAATCGAGTAGGCTTTCTTGGGATGATCTTTTCTGCTGAAAAAAAATGACTGCTTTTACAGTACAGCCTTTCAAATAGTTAGTATTCCTGATTATAATCAATTAGAACAACTTTCAACTTCACAAGCCAGCAGTACTGCTCTTCTTTATCAGCCCCAATTCTGACAGAGATTATTAGTTAACAAAAAAACCAAAACAAAACCAGGACCTTTGGATTCAGCTGTATATATTAAAATAGAGGGACACTACAAAAAAAATACTTGTGAGGGGGTGGGGCTGATGTCGCAGCAATACAGTGGTGGGTTAGCTAACCGAGCCTAATTCTACCAAAAGTCACTCCAGAGAGGTGGCGAAGAGGGGACACTCCGTGGATCACGAGGAAGAAAGCAACCCCTCGCAGGTCTGAAGGAAGCCCTCAAACTGGCAGGAGAAGACGACAGCCATTATGGCCAGACCAAGATGGGACAGCCTGATGGAAGAAGTGACTGAGAAAGACTGAGCAGTAGCATGAGTGATCTGGGCAAAACTTTTTTTTTCCTCACCCATGGATGGAATTCCCCCACCACCAAATTTTTCCTTTTTGAGAGTGAGATTCAAGAGGGGGAGGCAGGATATTCTTTTTCCCGCTCCCCAAAGCTTAGCAGTGACTAAGATTCTGACCCCTTGACAGATCCAGAAAAAGTTTGATTTATTTTTAAAAAATAAGAGGCATGGGCTAAAACTATAGGAAAGCCTGGACTGTTTCACTTTGGTTTTTTCCCTCATTTAAAAAAAATACTGGAATTGATTCTATGCTTATTAAGTTTGGATGGACCTTAAAAAGTTTCTTTTTAAAATAAATACTGTAGTAAAAATGGAGAAATTAAACAAGCACGACACCTACTGGTTGGAGAGAATATTACAAGTGAAAGGAAGAAGTCTGTTATGACTAGGGTGGTTATTTTTGGAAAGGAGACGGAAAGAAAATAGCACCTGTAGAATGTTTACTTTGAAGGTTTGGAGCTACAGAGTGAAAACCTTGAAATGCTTTGAATTATGCTTTGAACTACTGTGGATTACAAATTGAATTAGCAAAGTGAAGAACAGAAACAGCTTGGATTTGTTTTAAGACCAAGTGGATGAATTCTCTTTTGTTTATTCTTTTTCCTCTTTTTTGGTTTCTGGACTGGATACTGAAAATAGTTCGTTTTGTTTCTTGCCCCACTCTAACACTTTGGGTTATAAATATATTCAACAGTGAACTGAGATCTATAAAGTCTGGGGGAATTGGTGGGCCTTGGGGATTACAAATGCCAATGACTGAGAGAAGAAGAATACCTGTAAACTGTTTACATGTGAGAACATTGAAAAGTCTTGAACTATTGTGGATTACAAATACAATTCAGAAAGTGAAACAGAGAAGCTGTGAATTTTGAACAGTGAACTGAGAGTTACAACGCCTTGGGGAATTGGTGGGCCTTGTGGATTATAGATATTAAAAAAGAGAAGGAGAAGAAAGAAAAATAATTATTTGCAAAGAAGCATTCCATGCCACTACAGAATTAATCTTTGGACTGATCTGGTGGATTATAAAAATTATAACATTGTGATACTGGTGGGAAATTGGAAGAGAAAAGTGTATTGGGAAGTGTGACTTCCGGTTTGAGCTTCTTCGGTGACAGACCGAAACCTCGTCTCTCCGAGGCTTCGATCCGTGCTCGCCGCTGGAGCGCCCCGAGCCGGCTGGTTTCAGGGCCAAGCCACCCCGTAGAGGTGGTGAAGAGGGGGGAGACTGCCAGCAGGGTTGAGGAGAGCCACATCTCTCCTCCCCAGCTGGCCATTACTCCCTTTCCTGAAGGCGGTTGTAGCGGTGGTCAGAAATGGTCACCACAAAGAACTTGACCGGAAAAGAATGTGCAGGAGGAAGATAAGAAGAGAAAGTTTTGGTTGACCGGGTCAAACAGCAAAAACAACAAATAAGGTACCCTGGAATTTAAACTTAACAACATTGTTCCCAGAGAAGATTTTGAAGCTGCGAAGGAGAGAGAGAAGGGAAAAGATTAGGTTGTTTTTTTCCTTCCCTTCCTTATACTGACAGCTAAGAGACTTAAGCAAGAAACTGAAAAAAAAATCCACTTTGACATTAATAGGCATCTAAGCTGAAAATAAAAGTCAAAGGGATAATAAAGATTTCTGGACATTTAAAAGTTTTTAAAAGCTGGAAAGGAGAGAAAAAAGAATAGAAGGGCAGGATCTGGAAAAATGGAGGAGACTGCCTGGAATTAAGGAATGGAACTGTAATTAAAAGGAACTTACAGTGAAATTTTAACAAGATTCCTCAAAGATACATTTTAATGGAAACTTGGTAACAAAATAATAGAACCCCAGGAAGAGAAAGTGGAAAAAAGAAGCAAGTAGAAACAGCCTTGGATTATTTGGATTACTTGGTGATTTTTGGTTTTTGCATCTAGATCAGTGGTCCCCAACCTTTTTTATGCCGCGGCCCGGTACCGGCATCAGCTGGGCGCCGCCATCTTGTTTTGATGAAAAAGTGCTTCCGGTGAGCTTTCTACCCGGAAAAGCTCACCGGAAGCACTTTTTCATCAAAACAAGATGGCGGTGCCCAGCAAACCAGCGGCCTGGTAGGATTTGTTCCACAGACCGGGACCAGTCCGCGGACCGGTGGTTGGGGACCCATGATCTAGATGACTAAAATTAACTGGGTGGTTGTTAACGGAACTTAAAAAATGGAAAGAAGACGCACAAGAAGGGAGAAGTTCTTTTGGCTTCGTGTTTCAATTCTTAGAAATGGAGATCTGGAACTATGAGAAGTAACAAGAAATGCTTGCAGAACAAGAAGATTGGGACAAAGAAGAAGCCATCTTTAATGATCAAATAATTTTAAGTGGGGGGGAAAAAGAAAAGGGGGGAAAGAGAGTGAAAGGTCTAAGATTAGACAAAACAACCAAAAAGAAGAACAATTTGAAAGATAAATATAATATTAGAAAGCAACAGAAGAGGGGATTACAGACGAGAGAGTTAGAAGTAGAGATACAGGGGGTAAAGGGGGGAGGGAGAAGAAGAGGGGGAAGAAGGCAAGGAAAAGAAGTTGTAAAAGACAGAAACAAGAAATGGACAAACAGGGAAAAGATATAAGGATTGTAACCGTAAGTTTGTTTAGAGATAATGGGTGAAAATTTAATTGTAAAAGGGATTCTGCAAAGGTACATAAGATAGCTTTGTTATATTACAAATAGAAATAACTTTAGAAAATATGATGATGGATAAAATATTTATTGTAATACAGTGGGATGTTTGTTAATAAATAAATGAATTAAAATGATTGAGAGAATTAAAAGGGAACATTTTTAATTATTAGTAATGATTTATAAAAATATAAGTGAGAAATATGGGGGGGGGGAGAATGAACTATGGAAAGTTTATAAGTGTTCCCAAGGAAGTATGATATTTAATTGAAAAGAAATGTTAAAGATGTTAAGATTTTAATGCATATTAATGATAGAATTGAATTGGAATGGAATGTGTTTTATTTACATATATATATAATTTTTTCTTTTTAAGAATATAGTGTCTATTTTAAGAATGTACCAAGCAGAATTCGATTGGAAGTTATGCATTATATTGAATGCTATAATCTTAAAGCTATACATTGAAGCTTAAATAAGAGCTTGAATGGATAAAATTAAAGGATATAAAGGTGTCATACTCTAATTGGTAACTACAGTGAAAAATTTGCTTAATAAGAAAAGATAATGTGAAATTGTAACAGGACAGACAAAAGTATAAATATAATGATTTGAATTGAGATAATTAAAACAAAGTTGAGAAAATTAAAAGAGGGGAAAAACTATGTAGAAAATATAAAATGGTAATAAGATATGGAATAGAATATAAAAATGAGCATGAAATTGAGTTTTGTGTCTGTATGAAGAAGTGATAACCTGGGACCATGCTATTTTCAAAAAAGATGTTTTATTTGTATTTTGTTTTTGTGAAAACCCAAATAAAATTTTCAAAAAAAGAAAAGAAAAGTGTGTTCTTTTCTGGGTTTAAAATGGGGGTGGTCAAAAGTAGGTTAGGGATTAGAGATTATTGAGGTCTATTTTATTAAATGAATGCCTAAATTAACCTAGTTAATAGATACAAAAGCAGAAAAGGCAAGTAATCCAAATCTAAGCAAATTAGGAAAGAAAACATCTGCACCATCATCTGCAGCATCAAGTCCATCAAATCAAAAATTTGACAGAGCATGTTACACGCAGAAAAATAAAATTCATTCCAAAAAGATGTGATGATGATGTTCTAATCTTTATAGGAGGCGATAACAAAGAATCATAATGAGGTGAAGAGTGAGTTAGGAGAAGCGAAAGAAACAATGCACAATATGAATGAAAGAATAGGGAATTTCCAACAGATAATTAAAAAAATGGACAAAGGATTCAGGTAATAGAAGAAAAATCAGAACAGGCAGAAAAAAAAATGGAGGAAATGAACCAAAGCCTTACACAAGAAAAAAAATAATGTTTGAAAATCTATCAGCGAAATGTTGGAAGTGTAATCAAATACCAGGTTCATATGATCATATGAGGTAGACTTGTCCAAAGACAAAAAAATATTGGACTAAAATACATACTTGATTAGAAAAAATGATAAAGCAACACAGATTTGAAACCAGAAATGTTCCTGCTGGGTATACTGCCAGAACAGTATAATAAAGGGAATACATAGTTAATTTTGCATGTAGTAACGGCAGAAAGAATAGTGTTTGTACAACAATGGAAAAATGACGAGGTCCCGACAGATGAAAGTGTAATTTTAAAAAAATTAGAATGTGCTAAGATTGGTAAATTACACTTAAAAGAAAGGGAAGAAATATAATATTTTTTAACATGGGATTTATTTTATGGTTAACTAACAGAAATAGAGGTTATAAATGAAACAATTTTTTAAAAAATAATTTGTATTGAAAATGTTGCAAGATGGATAAATTAATTGTATTATTATGCTGTGATTAATATTGATATGTGTATTAAGATTACTAGTATGATTTTGGTTATTGTTGTATCTTTACTTAAAATTAATTGTGCCCAGACAACACGCTATTCAGATAGACATGGATTTTTTTGTTTTTAAAAGAAAAATGTACCAAGAAACATGGTATGAAACATGTATGAAAAGACACCCCTCCCCCAAACATTCACCAGTCTTATTCACAGCCAACTAGAATGATGTAGGCAAAACCAAGTCCATATTATTTATATGCTTCACTGTTCCAGGCTACCAGTAATGAACTAAAGATCAGATTTACCTGTATCATTTTCCATATCTGAATTCAGACAGTCTTGCTGTTTCAAGTGAGAGGTCACCAAGCAGTCATTACTCGATGAACATGTCTCTGGTAATTCTGCAGTGGATGATTTAAGTTTTGTTTGCAGTTCTTCAGTAACTATAGGGTAAGAAGAATGTCTGTCTGTCTGACTGTCTATCATCTGTTTTTGTAGACCACATATTTTTATGATTGTCAGTGGCTTGCAATGCGTAAAACTAAACTAAAACTAAAAGCATCCATAAATATATTGGTAAAAATAAAAAGCGATTCAAAGCATAAAATAATCCTTATAACAATTATTGCTACTATTAACAATCATTGCTACAAAAATGCCCTCCTAAAGAGGATTATTCTCATTATTTTACAAATGAGTAATAAGGCTACTAATGTTCAAGTGGGTACAAATAACAAAAGGCACTTCCTCCAATATTGGGGTCCCAAATGAGTATGACCCTTGTCAAATTTTTCTGCAAAATTAAAAATGAAAGGAAACCTTGAACAGAAAAAATTCCACAATAGACATAGGCAGGTTTAAGATATCATAGACATAACTGTTAAAATATAACACGGAACAGAATAGTAGCAGAGGTGGTATTCAGCAGGTTCTGAGCAGTTCTGGAGAACCGATAGTAGAAATTTTGAGTAGTTTGGAGAACCGGCAAATACCGCCTCTGACTGGAGATTTTACAGTATCCTTCCCCTGTCATACCCACAAAGGCACAGCCCACAGGACTGGTAGTAAAAAAATTCGAATCCCACCACTGAACAGTAGGGTCAAGAATGGCAAATATCACCATCTACTTAAGAAGAAATATCAAATAAATGATTCTCACTTGCTCCTCTAATGATATTGGCAATTTCTGTATTTGGTTTTAGTATTTCTTTTTCTTGCTGATATATGCCTCTGAGTACTTTGGCTTGGCACCGTGCTTCAATTTGATCAGTCACTGTCAACAATGCTTCAAGTGACAGCAAATGAGTAGTGTACAGTTGTCCAGAAACAGGAAAAGCATTCTGAAAAATCAAGCATAATTAAGGCTATATCCAACTGCATAAGGAAACTTAAATACAACTTCTATTTAACTTAGTTCTACACAGCTATGCAAGCCTTCATAACTCATTGGAATCCTTAAACCTAAGTCCCCACAAAAGATTAGTTTTCTTTTATGTTAAACATTGTTGACTCAGTATATAAAGTTGCATTTCTACTCAGAAGATTTTACATACTTTGTGGGGGAATATATGCTTGCTAAACTATTTACATTAATATTCCTAGTAGAAAACATCTAAAATACAGGTAGTCCTCAAGATACAACCACAATAGAGCTGCCTACTACGGTTGCATGTCATGATCATTAAGTGAAGCATCTCACTTAACAATCTCCAATCCGGTTCTTACCAAAGCAATTGTTAAACTAATGTGCAGGTTAAGTGGAGCATGTGGGTGTCCCAGTCCTCCCCCACCTCCCGAGACACACTTCCCTTTACATCTTGCTTCTTGGATCCCCACAGGCCTTTTCCCACTCCCACTGGTTCAACCCAAGCCTTAGGCCTGATTTCCACCTCACCAGGCCAAATACCCTCCACCTCACTTACCTTTTGAGAGCTCTGCGGCTTTCCAGAGTGTTGGAATGAATGACTGCACTGCTGTGCAAGCTTGTTAAGGCAGCAAAATGGAGTTATTTGCCTTGTGGTTGTCCACAGGGTCAAAATGACAGTCATTTCTGGATTGCTGCCATGAGGTCCATCAAGGCAGCAAAATAGAGCAATGTGTTCCTCATCCGTGGTACAATTCCAGAATCATGCTATGCGGCTAAGCAACGAAGTATCCCATTCCAGCACTATGAAAGGCTTTGGAGCTCTTCAAAAGGTGAGAAAGAGTGGTGGGAATCAGACCTAAAGTCTAGTGGGGAGTCCTTGGGGATATGAAAATGCTTGCATGGCCAGAGTGGAGGAGATGGTAAATGGGGGTACTGCAGTGTCCCTGCTGTTGATCATAAGGGTGAATAAACATGGGGGCGCTGCAGTACCCATTACTTTGGGACCAGGTCATAAGTAGCTTTTGGGGGGATCTGTCTAACTTTGGCTGTTAACTGATCAATTGTAAGTCATGAATTTTAGTAATTATAAGATGCCCATCCTGAACAGAGTAGAAATGTGGTAGAAATGCCCCATTTACTGGGTATCCATGCATTAGTTGCATAATTTGGACATTTCCTGGATTTCCCTATCTCACTTTTAAAAACTGGTATAACACTATTTTCCAAACTCCTGACACTGAATATGATTTGAATGATAACTTATATATTTTTGCTAGGGAGTTAAAACATTTTCAAATTTCAATTCTTTAAAAATTCTTATGTAGATAGCATCAAATTTTTATGATTCTTCTCTTGTTCCTCAATTTTTCTTGGTGCTGGTTTCCTCCCTAAGAAAGTCATAATGGCTCTGGTACATTTTCAACATATTATGTATTAAGGAGATATGCAAATAAATAATTTTTCTGCAAACACCCCATCATACTTGACAATCCCTATTATTTCATCAACTTATAGCCTGATTGAATTTAACAAAACCTGTTTCCCCCTAGTCTCTCATGAGATTCTTTGTTTTTTCATTCTTTGTTATTACCTTACACTTTATCTACCAGAGTTTTTGCTTCTTTCTGTTCTCTTTGTTGAAAATGTGCTGGAAAAAAAGCCTTCTTGGTTTTTAGAGCTTTCTGGGTCACTTGAAAGCCATGCTGGTCTCTCTTTAAACTAGGCTGATCCTTTCTTACATTATGAAATAAAGACAAATTAAGCTTTAATGACAGTGGTTTTAAATAACCTCTAGGCCTTACAATCTGTTCCTCTTGACTTTTCTTCTCAGTCTCTGTTTCACCAGCCCCCTCATGTTTTAAGTTTCCTTTTCTGTAGATGTTATGTGACTATGTTATATCCTGCTAGCAATTTCCATTTGCTTGTATGATAAATGTAGCAGTACAATAATAATAATTTCCCATCGTTGTTCAAACTCATTTCAAATATGATCACAGTCCCCATTTCAAATTAAATCTAGGCTTGTGTCACATTGGTCTACTCTGCTCTCTATTTTAAAAAGCCCAATAACATAGGATATATAGAGATTTGGTTGACCACAATCTTAAGCAGGCACAATCTCAGACTATATCTGAGAGTAACTGGCATTCGCATTATTTATAACTATGCTGAAATTGTGGTCACCCAAATCTCTAGATTGTCTCCCTGGTTTTTTCACATTATCCTCAGCATTATGATCAGGTAGGCAGTAGCTGGTCATTAAATCTGGCGTTTTTAACCATTTTTTGTTATGAATGGTGAAATCCAGGATTCCATCTTAGAAATATGTATTTAAATTCATGAAGTAAAATAGTGAAACTAAATTTCTTTCCCAATTCATGGATGTGCTAAAAGCTATCCATGGGGTCCCCAGTCTAGAAATTCACTGCAAATTTAATTTACATTTGTAAATTAAAGGTATTCCCATCCACAATGATACTGTGAAAGAATCTGACCTTTCATTATTTTCTGTTTCTTTAGATTTTATACTATTATTGATAAAAAGAGAGATCACAGTAGTTAGGAATGCCTCACATGACATTCCCAATTCTAATATTTTCACATTTTGTAAAAGAAAACAATAAGGATAATTTACTAAATAGGACAGACCTAACCAAGAATAAGACAGGGATATTCTGTCCTCAGTATCAAACTGTCTTTAAAGAAAGCATTCTGGAAACAGCATGCCAGTGGTCAGAATCACAGTCCAAAATAATTTTTATACACATAGATCTAACATTTATTTTCTTTCCCTCGAAAACTGGCTTAATTAACTCAAGCACATATTTCTGCAATTAGATTGCGAAGTATTTCCACCAACAATCACTGTTAAGTTTTAAAGCCTGATTACAGTATGAGGCATTTTTCTGAGGAAAAGGTAAAGGAGTAGAAACAGCCCTTCCAACTGAATTTCTCTTCAGAAAATATTCCTACCTATATAAAGACTTTTAAAAGCCTCTACTGGTAACTTTAGATGATATTCTGAAGCACTTCTAGGGTACTAAAAAGCTCTGATCAGGTTATATGATGAATTTTCCCCTTTATAGCAATTACATGAGGCATGAGAAAGGAGGGTAGAACTTTGGGAGGCTTGGTACTCAAATTGAGAACTTCTGCAGTCTAGGATTTCTTTATAAAATAAACATGGTTTATTATTTTGTGCTTGTAATGATACTGAAAAGAAAACATCAAAGAAATTCTTATTCAGGACCTTGGATAGCAGCTTGCTGAGGTCTTCAAAAAGATTAGCACAGTAATAGTCACAGTCATAGTTAATGTAGAGCTCAGTTACAAAGCTAGGAATCCTCCATAGCTGAACTATAGCCTCCAGGGCCATCTCCTTCATTTCATAAATCATCTTGGGGCTTTCCACTGTGATGATCTCCATCAGTTTCTTGATATACATCTGACAGAAAGATAGGAGATAGTTCAGTTTATAGGGTGTAATTCATCTATATGTGATTCATCTATAACAGTTTATAGGGTGTGATTCATCAAAATGTGATTCATCTATAACACGGGTGAATATTATAAGTGATAGTTTCTTTTCCTGGTCTCCACTCTTACTTTTCTATTCCAGACTTTGCAATTGGAGTTTCAAAACATTTTGATTATAAAATGTTATCATTATAAATGAATATCTTAAAATATAAGAGCACAAAAATGCAAGCATATGAACATATCTAGTGAGCATTTTAATGATATATAATATTTTTTCAAAGTGTTCCCAGACCTTCCCCCAAATGGGATTAATTTCTCCCAAAGATTACATAACATATTTCAAAAGACTCACCTCCAGTTGGAATTTCAAATGCTCTCTCATTTTCTCAAATAAAAGGAAGCAAACCCTAAGGGAAGCTGAATATAAATTAAGCCGCTCCATGTTCAATAACTGGGAATGAATGAAAAGTTCAAAGATAATGAATATACATCTATTTTTTCCATCATCCCAATCTAAAATCATATAAAATAATTATTCCAAAAGAGTTCAACATACATGCAATATTTTTAAAGATGAGGAAGGTATTATGTTCATGCTTACTTGAAAGAGATACCGACATAATTCTTCTTTTATAAGTCCTAAGAGAGATGGGCAGTTTGCAACACAAGTCAATTCAAGAGCAACTGTGAGTAGCTGTAGACCCATGTGGATCATCACCTCAGAATTGTGTCGGTCATGTGGATTAGTGAGAGAGATGAGGAAACGCAGTAATTCACGAATACAGGGCAATCCATAAGGGACTAATGTTGTTCCTTGAAAATGAGAACACACAAAAACATTCCAACTATAGCACTCCTGCTCAGCATCCTTTCAATTAGTCAGAGATACATTATTCTTGATAATGGCAAATTAATGGTATTTGGATATTTTTAAAGATATAGAATGAAAAGAAAACAGAAATTACTATTACAGTACATTTTTCCAATGCACTCACCCTCTTTTTGAGAACACTGAGTAAATCGTACACCTCGAGGGTTAACATAGTCCATGTCATGAATTGAAACAGAATCAGTTACAGAAGTACACTCTTCAAGAACCTCTGGGATAGATTCTACTGAAGCAGATGGAGTCTTTTCCCTCTGAGGACATTCATTCTTTAATCACAAAGATATTAAGGCAGAAAATTAGCACAGACTAATACTGCTACATGACACAAATAATCCCATATACTCAAGGTCTTCAAACTTGGCAAGTTCAAGACTTGTGGACTTCAACTCCCATAATTCCTGAGCTAACATGACTGGAGGAAGAATTCTGGGAGTTGAAGTCCACAAGTCTTAAAGCTGTCAAGTTTGAAGACCCCTGCCATATACTACTACTGACATAAACCCATACTCTAAAAGAAAAAAAATCAGTCTTCTTAATTAAAATGATTCAGCTCTGTGGCTAGATATTTTGCATCTACAACAGCAGCAAATGACTTTCTATTTCTAACACTTCAAGAATAGTAATATATTCAACAGTAAAAAGCCTTTTCAAAGTTTAAATTTCAATTTCCACCAATCTTGCCAAAGATGAGAGAAACTGGAAATTGTAGTCTTAAATATTTCACAGTCATCCAGTTTGTCTACTTTATTCAAAAATGTATGTATGCAATTTATCCCACTGTAAAATTCCTCTTCTCCTTATAAGATTTGTGACATTCATAATCCAAACAAATCCTAATAGTGTAAAGTCAGTGCTATCTACTCTACTGTACCTTCATGTAAAGTAATTTTGTTAATGCAAACTATGCTTGAGAAGACCTACACAAACAGCAGATATTAATATTTGAAATAGATCACTTTACTATTTTTAAATGTAATAATTGTTTTGCAAGTTCCATAAAAAGTAGGTTGGAAATCAAATTCATACACACAGAAAGCATCTCATTACCTTTACATCCATTTACAAGGCTACTCAAAAAATACAGTAATCATCCTATTTTTTGTTTCAGCCTCTTTTAGCAATAGCAATAGCACTTAGACATATATACCGCTTCATAGTGCTTTACAGTCCTCTCTAAGTAGTTTACAGCCTATTGTCCACAACAATCTGGGTCCTAATTAAGCAGATGAGAATCGAACTGCAGGCAGCCAGCAGTCAATAGAAGTAGCCTGCAGTACTGCATTCTAACCACTGCGCCACCACAGCTCATTTTAATCATACATTTTACATGCTAATTTCTTAATGGACTCTACCTTTTGTGTTTGGAGGGAAAATGAAAATCAAGCCATTTAAAATTACATTATTGGCTAACTGAACAGAATAAAAGCAACTTTTATAACTGTCACCGGTATGTTGTCTGCTGAACTGTGCTGTAAAGGAAATTCATACCTGTAGTTCTAACTGCTCTCTGGCTCTAAACTCATTTAAGGGCATTGTTGTACTGATTTCCAAAGATTTGACAAGTTGTAAATCTGTAAGATCATCCTTTGAGCGAATTTGGGAAGATAACTCTAAACCACTGTCAATGACAGGACTAACTATAGAAGATACATTTTCTGAATTTCCAGATGAAATTGGAGAAGGTCCATCAGTGATATTGACCTCACCTGTGAACAATAAATAACATAAATATTAGTCATATATTTATTTATAGTACATGGTGTCCTCTTTCTATTTTATTATATTATCTGAAATAATGGATTATAATACACATTGTTATTCATTATTTCAGATAATATAACAAACAGTGGCCTACCTCACTGGAATTAATTAAACAGAACATACTGTATTCACTTCACAAAAGACCTCAGTGTCTTTTATTCATACTTCAAGGTTAATGACTTTATGTATCAATAGCCAGAGTCCTCACAGAAAAAAAAACCATGAAATCCCTGCTTCCCAACTCCGAGCATATAACTTTGAAACTCATAAATTTATATGAAGTAGAAAATTTGGACCCCAGAAACACTGCATGAACAAAATTCCAACTGTCTGAAAAATTGAAAACAGAATAATTCTAGTCAATTTTACATTAGATTATTTACAGAGTTCCTCTCCAAGGTTGTGTATGTTCTTGCATAAATATTGATTTACATACATATTCTTTTAAAAGCATTTATATTGAAGCTCACAACTTGTGTACTAAATCAGATATGAAGCATCTAAAGAGCCAATCCTGCAAGACAAAAAGATGCCTCAGAGAGTACTTTCTGAGAGTTTTTCTAGCATTATTATCCCTGAAACTGCTGTACAGTACTGGAAACAAATGTGTTTGCTTTAAGAACTAGCGTTCTATTCTATATTCCAAACTATTATGCCAATTTATTGTGTTAGGTTATATATCTTCTAAAGAAAACATTATAAAGAGAAAAATTATTGAAATTATCACAATCATAATTCCTCATTTCTGATCTGGTGAGAAAAATAGTTAAGTCTAGGTTGTAAGGACAGGGGCAAAAGTGATTCATATACATGGGATGTACATGAGATGTATCTTCTTAAGTAGCTCTAATATCAGAACAAAGCTCATTTATTCAGAATGTTCAGTGAAGAATTCCAGTATATATCAATTCAATTATTTGACTTTTATCCTGCCACAATCTTGTAACTCTAGAGTAGGTGTGTCAAACTCAAGGCCCACGAGCCGGATGCAGCCCATGGGATGCTTAGATCTGGCCTGCGGGGCCACCCTGGAAACAGCAAAGGACCAGCCCATGGTGCTTCTGCCAGCGAAAATGGAGCTTGGGAGGGCCGCACGTCCTGTGTCGTCGTCCCCGAGCTCCATTTTCACTGGCAGAGGGCTAGCAAAAGAACCTAAAAACAAACGAAAGGAGAAATGTTTCCCCTTTTGCATTTGAGCATGCAAGAAGGGACAGGAAAGGAGAAAGAGAAAGGGGAAAGAGGAAAGACAAAGAAAAGGAAAAAGAAAAAGAAAAAGAAGGGAAGATGGGAAGATAGCAAGGAAGGAAAAATAAGGAAAAAAGGGAAGGAAGAAGAAAAGAGGAAGGAAGGAAGGAAGGAAGGAAGGAAGGAAGGAAGGAAGGAAGGAAGGAAGGAAGGAAGGAAGGAAGGAAGGAAGGAAGGAAGGAAGGAAGGAAGGAAGGAA